AATAGTTTCTATCTAAATTAGCCTTTAAAAATTAAAAAAATCAAAATATCAATCAATCGATATGTCCATCATCTTTCGTAATTGAATTCATAACTGCTATATACATTTTTTTGTATCTTGGAGAAGGAAAATATAGAGAACCATATAAAGTCGAATGATTGTTCGTAGTTGACCTGGCTTGTATGTCATTTTTCTTGTTTTTCTCTATTTTTCGCGGTGTGCCATAAAGGTTTTTCCATTTTCATCGAATAGTGCCGTAAATCAGTTGTCGAATGTATGTGATATCTGTACCGGTGGAATATCTATGGAATCGACCATGTAAGGGTTCAAAGGTGAATATACCATAATTGAGTGGTTTTTGTTTCCTTATATGAATTGTATCAATGTGTTCCTATGTAATACTAATTTTTTAATATTATTAAATGAGAGAATTGTTTTTGGATTCTATTCAAATTTTACTTTGTGTTCATGATTGACTCAGTCATATCTAGTCAAAGTTATTCCTAGAGCTCGCAAAGCTATAAAGCATGACAAAGTCGTGAATTTTTATACCTTTTCCAGTTCGCACTCGGTTTTAGTTCATGTGATTAAAATTTACGCGAAATCGATATTTTTCCAAAGATATGGCGACATATGATATATCGTTCCATTCAGTTACCGTTTCGTATACTTTATGTTTTCCACGGCGATATCTCTCGTTCCGAATTAAAACTTATATGCAAAAAAAATATAAAAAAGCAATGATTTGTATGGGTGGTGCGGTGTGCGCATATTTCCGGATATTGAAACGAACATTTTTGCGAAATTAAAAGATCTATCATTGTCACTGACATATGGAAAAATGATAGATTTATGGGCATGATTAAAAAAGCGCGATGAATATTTTTAGTCGAGGGAAATATAGGCAACTTATTTTACATTGAAGTTAATTGAAATTTTAATTATTTCGAGTGTTTGAATTATGGATCGATTAAACTATGTAATTGACCGACTTCTATATTTAAGGATGAGCGATGAAAGTTTTCCAAGGCTCTAGCATCTGGTGGAAATGAATTTGCCAAAAAGGTGCTTATAGCTTTATTATTTTCGTTAATAATGTTTTGTTTGTTTGACATAACCGAGTTTTTAATAAATTAATAAAATTACCATAAATTCAGTAATTATTGCTCTAAGATTAATTTACTAAAAGGTTAAACTAAAGTTTATGTGCCGCCATGATTGGGGGTACAGCAGCTTCTTCAGAGCCGAAACAGGAAACACACTATCATATATGTACAAGTGGCCGAATAACCTAAGATGAATATTGATACTGAAGATACCGGGCCAACGCCTATGTTTTTTGTTTTTTACTATAAAATATACTCAATTAAATGTGAGAATGTGTGCGTGTGCAATTTCTGTATGTTGGATAATTTTATAATCAATAGTAAGTCAATTAATTTAAATTAAATAATATAAAATTTTAGAGATTTGTTATTTCATCACGCGCACGATATCATCAAACATCCATACATATTTTTGTGTCAGAACAAGGTTTCAATTTAATAGGGTATCGCAAATTTATTAAACAATTTAATTCACCTTTAACTCAAAAACAAAAAAATCTACCTTGATTTTTTACAATTTAGAGCTTCATATATTTTTTTTAAATACAAATTCAACTTTTTATTAAATTTTAATTATAGCTTATAGTTTAAGTAATGTAATACAAATAGAATATCAGATAAAATTTAAATTTATAAGAAAGTCTATTACTAGCCTAGTGCACACGACGCCAGTTTTCCTTGTAACAGGATTTCTGTCAAGTTTTCTGGCAAGGTGACCAAGAATTTTGCGCCAGATTTTTACTTATTTTATGATTAATAATATTTTTGTGCATTTTCGAACAGATTAATATTAAGATATACTGTAAACTTTACAATTCATATTTTATAGGTCAAAAATGCATTAATAATTATAAGTGCACAAACAGAACATTATATAAAATGTATACAATAAACATATATGGATAGTATCCGATTAGAATGAATCCATAAATCTTATATTTCAAAAAATTAAATAAAATAATAATAATAATATTTAAAACTTTCAAGGATTTGGAATGTATAAAATTATGTCGAATAAATTTTTGTATAGAAAATTGATTTGAAAAATTTAATTTCAAGACCTCTTTTTTAATTAGAATAAGTTTTATTGATTTTGAGGTTGAAAATTATTTGCCTGAATTACATATGATAAAATTTTAAAATTTTTCATTTTCATGTATTAAAAGCAAATTGAAATAAGATGATATTTGGAAATATAAGCAAAAATTGTTGCAATTGTCTCAATTCGAAATATTACATTATAAAATAATAAAATTAAAGCTCTAAGATTGTCATTTCTTTAGTATTGTCTTATCTTAAGTAATTTATACGATCGCGGTCTTATAAAATTATTTTAAAATTTGATTAGAAAGAAAATCTTTCTAATAAGATGCTGAATATTTTGATATTGGTTAGAACGCATTGATCCCTGTACAAATTTTGAATTTATTCATTTTCATTGTACTATATTTCTTGAAAATGTTGTAGAAGTAGTAGAAACAGTCATTTATCAGCGAGCATATTGCCATGGTATCTCCATTTAATATTTGAAATGAATATTTATGAAAACAAAAATCTGTTCCGGCGTTTCCTCGACGCGAGAGCATTTTGTGCACCGGTGTGCATTAGCATATATTCATGTTTAACCTGTGTTCTTGACTAAACTGAAATTAAAATGACATTTTATGAAGAAAAAAACACCTCTACGAACTAAAAAGAAACGCAATTTATACACCCGGCTTTTAAAACTTCTGCTCGGAACCACAAGGAATGATTAATATGGAGGAACTTAACTCGTAACAAATATATTCGAAAACTTTAAAATTTACATATTATTGTAGAAGCGTGTTGCATATGACGGCACTTTGGTTTCAAGCAAGGAAAAATGTTTTAAGGAATTTTTAAAAATATTTGTCATAGTTGTTCAAGTCAGAAATCTCTGCAAGTTAAATTCTTTAATGTTATTATATAGCATGTTCTATGCTCATATATAACTAAGAGTAGCTCGAATCGTGTAAAATAAAAAAATACTAGTAATATGTTACTGTGAAGATTTCTAAACTATAGAATTCATATATTTACTTAGTGCAATAAACGCGTTTCAAAAGCTTTAACAAAAAATTCAGACTTTTTTGTGTACACTTACACTTATATAGAATTTTCAATTTAAATTGTAAAGAAATGTGTTGTACTGGTATTAAATTCTGAAAAGCTTAATAAACATGATGTTATTATATAAATTCCACTCTTTCAACATTCAAAGAAGATTTCTATCTAAATTTGATTTTATATATTGTTGCATTATATATACTTTTTTTCTATTAGACTTTCAAACTTATTAGATTTAATTGGCTAAGAAAGCAAATGACAATTTTATCAATATGTTTTATATTATTATGTTTCCAAATAATAAAAATGATGTTTCTTTTCATTTTGTTGCAGTTTAATGTAATATATTTATCAAATTTTATTCAAATCATTTCATCATTTACGCTCTTTTATATTAATACTTGATAAATTAAAATGTGCATTCAAGATATGACTCACAGTTTTATTCATGGTTAAGTTACATTTTTCTAATAACAGCAATTTATTATAATCAACTCATAGGTAAATCCGAAATATATTTTCTTTCCTAAATGGTCTATTGTATATTAAAAAATTTTGAGTTCAATTTTTGCAGACCGTTATTAGAATTACATAGTAATATTGCAGCTTTAAGAAGTTAGTTAAATATAAATTTACCATAGCAATTTTGCATGCAAAATATTCAAAATTATGTTTATATTAGCCAAATTATTAATATCCAAAACAAATATTCGCTTTGCACGCTCAAACTTTTCTTATCAACTTTCCATCCATGGGAAAATTTTATTCTCGGATATTTTAAGCATACAACATTGCCCGTACGGATATTTCTTTATGAAATGTATCGCTAAAAGTTGCACAGTTTTCCTAATAGAAAATTAGTGTCGATTATCGTAGGGTTTTTTACGTTTTTCCTTCGTCATTGATTTTTCCATTAAGCTGAAAACTTGGGATGAAACTTTAAATATTACTTGCACACAGGTTTGCACTTCCACATAAATTATGTATGTATCTAAGTTTGTCTTTTTGAAACAGAAAATTTAGTTTTATATAATTAATTTACCTAAAATACTCAGATGTTAAAGCTAAAAGACCTGAAGTTAATATTTTTTGTATATACATTAAATTATCAGATTTTTATAGAACTTTGAATACCTTCCATACATTTGAGTATTGGTTTTATGTATTATTTAGAAAACTTGTTTAAATTTCTCAAGAAAACATTCTAAATATTCGATTAAATTTTTAAATATTAGATAAAGAAATTGAATATTCTTTATTATTTTTTATAGAACCATAGATTGCTGCTATGTATTAATGATAACTTTCGGACCAACACACAAAAATAAGTCTTTGTAAAAAAATCAATTTTCTTTGGAAATTGATAGTTAAATCGCGAAACTGATTCTCATTTAATACAAATCTAGCTATTGTTTATGAGGAGGGGAGTTCTAGAAACGTTTCTTAAAGTTCCATGTTATGCACTAGTTTTAGTTACATTGTGATGAGAGTTACAATGTAGCTACCAAATATTATTCCCATAAATTTCGATAAAGCCGAAATGAAACAACGCTTAAATGTAAATTTATATCGTGGCTCACTTACATAGTATAGGCTTCGAAAGTTATCAGACTGAAGTCGAAAAAGTTTTCCATGATGTGAAGTTGCCAAAGAGTGTTTAAGGAAATTAATCATTGAAGTTTTGGCCAAGAAGAGAAATACTGCCTCTTGCTTCGACCCCGTTAAAACCAGGCCGATGTTTCTTGTCATTAGTGATTTATGGTCAAAATTGCAAAACTAACTGAAAACCGTTTGATTATTTTTCAGCTGGGAGATCTATCCAATCCTGAGTTGAGAATATTGACGGAGCAGCTGGATAAGATACAATTCGGAGGTGAGGATTATATTAGATTTTTTATTTCATTCGTTTTTATAAATGGTCACAATGCTTGTGAAAAAATACATTATAAGTTATATAATATACCAAACCAATTTTATTCTATTTTCTTCCAATTGAGGAATTAGTTTTACATTATGTTATATTAGTTTGTTTGTTTTATAGTACTTTATAAATTTTATTTTATATTAGTATGCTGATGATAAAACTTTTCTAAAAACTAAAAGTATAACTTCACGCTTTTGGCATAGTGGCGCAATGTTGTTTTAAGTTTAAATTTATTATTTCTAAAAAATATATTATTTTATTGTATATTTTTAATAAATTTTTATAATCTTTACTGATACATATAAATGTTGACAAGTAGAAATCCAATTAATATCAATTTTTTTTCGAAAATTATTATTAGGGAAGACTAGGTACAGTTGCGCCACTTTCTTTGGTCAGCAATAATTTTCTTAATATACCTATTAGCTGGGATAAAAGAAACCTGAAGCACGGTTGTGACAGGCATAAAAATAGGTTAAAAAACTATATATAAACTAAAAAAACACCATAATAGTTTATGATTTTTAAGAATTTTTTTTATAAAATGTCTTCTGTTTTCTTGTATTGAATTTTCTTTTCTTTTTTTCTTCCATTTTGTCGTAGTTAAGTTAGATTTGTTTATCTGTTTGAATTTTACTCAGAAAGGACAAGAAATACAAATCACAATATATACATTATCGTATACATGTCACATTAAAGAAAACTAATTGCCGGTAATTGACTACTAATGTTCGACTTACAGCAAAACAACAAACGAAGTGATCTATATGTATACACGTAACAGTTATTATTAGAAGAAATCGAACAAAAAAACTTACTTTTGACTCTTTAAAAGCGATTCGATCATCTTAATGTAGGGAGCCCTAAATTTCTCTAGAATAAAGAGTTCTTAAAACAGCAAATACATAAGATTGAATAATAGATACAGCAATTTCTAAAATTAATAAAATTAATTGAGAGAAAATTAAAATTCAAATTAATCATATAGATAGAGAGTTTCCTGTCAGTGCAATAATGGAAACTTGTTCGAACAAACATACTTCATTTTTTACATCTTTGAACCCTAACACAAAATCAGTATAGTTTACCTGTTATGACGACTGTTACTGCCCTAATTTGGCATAACCGTACCAGTCTTCCCTACCCAATATTGCGCATATATATATATATATATATATATATATATATATATATAATAGGGAGGTCTTTAATATGAATGTTTTCGGATTTCTTGGAGCTCAAATACTTCAAAATTGATAAAAAATATTATCTGAAAGTTTTAGCTTCTTAAGTAAATACTTATTTTATGAAATATATCAATTTTTTGTATTTTTTTTATTTATGATCAATATAAGCAAATACAATGTTATACTCAAAATCTTGATTTGCGTGTCGCTAAGTTAAAAAACAAATGGGAGTTCACCCATGTTATTTTCATAGAAACTTTGATTGAAGTGCGGACTATCTGGTGTTAATATTAGAAGGTAAACCTCGCACAGTTTTTTTCATTTGGAAGCATTTGAGCCCCTGCGAGCAAGAAAATTCGAAAACAACCATATTAAGGACCACCCTTATATATATGTATATATATATGTAGCGGGTTGCCAACACGCATCGCGGCTTGTCAACACGCATCACATGTCTCTGGACAGATTGGCCCATATAGTGACAGCACTGAGAAAAACAAAAGGAAATTCAGGTGTCAGATCTAGTTTTTGTTTGCTCCATGTTCAAAATGCCAAAATTATAATTCTTAACTTTTTTCCTTTTTCATATAAATACTCAAATAATATCTACGTTTTGTAAATGATAAATATAATCACACATAGTGTTGTTACAATTGTCATAATAAACAATATACGTAGTATAAAAATATGGAGGTGTAGTAGTCCTCCATATTAATACCAATATTATCCAAATTGTAGTAATAATAAATTCCATAAAATATTATTTATATTTGGTTTATTTTATGTATGATTAATATCCACGACACTATGTGTTGTCATATTTATCGTTAATAAAATGTGATTGGTATTTTCTTATTTATAATAGAAAAAGAAAGGTTTTGAAAATTATACATTTTGGCAAGTTCGACTAGGGAGAAACAAAAACCGTGTCCGATCTGACACCTGAATTTCCTTTTGTTTTTCTCAGTGCTGTCACTATATGGGCCAATCTGTCCAGAGACATGTGATGCGTGTTGACAAGCCGCGATGCGTGTTGGCAACCCGCTACATCACTCCGCCCTAATGAAAAAGATTGTTTCGCATCTCTGACTGCCATTCTTGAACTTCCTTGTAAATTTCTTTTGGTTGAGATTGTGTGATAAATTGCCGTGTTGGCTTGTTGAGTTTGTTGATTGCTTACGTGGCCCTTCGCTGGTGAGTTAGCGGTTGAGTAGATGTGGCCCTTCGCTGGTGAGTTAGCGGCTGAGTATATTTGACACTTCGCTGGTGAGTTAGCGGTTGATTGTATGTGGCCCTTCGCTGGTGAGTTAGCGGTTGATTGTATGTGGCCCTTCGCTGGTGAGTTAGCGGTTGAGTGTATGTGGCCCTTCGCTGGTGAGTTAGCGGTTGAGTGTATGTGGCGGTTGCCAAATTGTTTGCTCCCTGTCTGTTGCCATGGTGCTTATTATCGACTTATTTACCATGATAATAAGTGATTTATTGAGCACGTGTTATTGTTGATCTTGAAGTGCGTGGTCGGAGTCTCAGTTGTAGGATTAGAATGTTCTTCTAGTTATGGCGGTTGTGAGCCATTTATAATAATTATTTATATTTTTAAAAATTCTTTTCTTAGTAATTCTTGAGACTTCAATTTATTTTTTTTGTGCTACTTCAAAATATGTCTTGATCTTCTTACCTTCTTGTATGTGTGTTACTAGTTCACTCTCGGGGTCACCAAAATATGGAGGTGTAGTAGTCCTCCATATTAATACCAATATTATCCAAATTGTAGTAATAATAAATTCCATAAAATATTATTTATATTTGGTTTATTTTATGTATGATTAATATCCACGACACTATGTGTTGTCATATTTATCGTTAATAAAATGTGATTGGTATTTTCTTATTTATAATAGAAAAAGAAAGGTTTTGAAAATTATACATTTTGGCAAGTTCGACTAGGGAGAAACAAAAACCGTGTCCGATCTGACACCTGAATTTCCTTTTGTTTTTCTCAGTGCTGTCACTATATGGGCCAATCTGTCCAGAGACATGTGATGCGTGTTGACAAGCCGCGATGCGTGTTGGCAACCCGCTACATATATATATATATATATATATATATATATATATACATATTTGGGGTGTTTATTGTATTATGTTTTATTTATTATTTCAGGAGACGAGGCTCCAGTGAGAAGGTTATCGATAAGGGGTCTGCTGCCGGACACAGAACAATACATGACGTACGAAGGTTCGACGACGGCCCCCGCATGTCACGAAACTGTCACTTGGATTGTGATAAATAAGCCTATCTACATCACCAAGCAACAGGTACTTCACACTACTATATTACTCAATTTGTTCTTCAATTCAACACATGTTGATACTTGATTTCCAATTAATGCTGTCATTCCTTAATTTGACGAGTTGTTAAGTATTGAAGGATCTAGCACATGAATTAAGAGGAGTATGAATGGAACACTTGTTAGGATTAGGGGGTAATTGCCAGGTTCAGACTCATGGAGACAAGGGTATATAATTTTTTTTGTTTGGTAGAAATCTGAGACTGTTCTGGACAAATCAGGACGTGTGGTCACCTGATTAGTATTTAGTTATCTTAAGATAGAGCCTGCTTTGAAAGCTTAAAAAATCGATTTTTTGCAAAAATGTCTACCAAAAATAACCAAGAATATATCCTTAAAATTTCAGAAACAAATTCATTTTATTTTCGGGGTTACAGAAGAAATTGAGAACAAGTGTTGAGCATGTATAAAAGCGGAACGAAGACTTCGACGCGCGATCTCTTGGTTTCTCATTTTTTAGATTTTACTTAATTGGCGGGAAAAATAAGATACGTTCTGTCAAAACGAGACAAAATTTATTGTATTCAGAATTAAATTTCTTTTAGTTAAACCTAAAAAACCTTAAAAAAAGTTTTAATTTACCCACTTTTTAAATAATCTAAAGTGATTTTTTTATCAAAAAACATGCTTAACATGAATTTTTTAAGTTGCAAAAAATTGGTTAAATACTCACTTTTTTCTTGATTTTTTAGGTTTAACTAGAATCTATACTAATAAAATATAAATTTGTTTAATTTTTTTTGTTTCGGATGGAAATTGTGACATGCATCTTTCCCACCAAATAACACCTGCACGCTATTGGCGCCTCAGCAAAATGCTTGTACCTGGCATATTATGACATATATTTTAATGAAAAAATTGAGAAGAATTCTGAGATATAATCATGAAACCTGAAAGAATTAAATATTTATTTCCTTTCCTAAAAATTCCTTAATAAAGCCATTTATTGAAGCCTCTAAAGCAGGCTCTCCCCTTAAAATAAACCATAAGAATAGGTAAAATAAATAGATTGTTAGTTCTGAAGTTTGTCAACCATTCTATTGTATTTTATATGAATATACGAAGCTTACTAAAAATCAATTTTAAATTTTTGTGATTTATCCCATTCCAAAAAACTTATTGGATATAAATTACTCTCGTCCTCCGTAATTAAATCTACTTTTAGTCTGCAAAATAGTTTGTCTCCGGTGTAATTAATTAATCGATGAATGCCATTCAGTATGTTAAATAATCATTATTAAACCATTATCGTCAATCCAAACCAGTAAGCTTTTGTAGCTCGTGAGCAAATTACGAATAATTAATATGATTGCATCTGTATTCCGAATGATGCCATTTATTTGGCCGAGCATATGGATGCATGACATGCATTCTGAATGCATTAAGTTGTTTTAGTGTTAATTGGTTGAACCGTGATCAATATTTTAATTAGACTAATGACTATAAGACTCTGAACTAAATGTATCAAATCGATCAGTATAAATAAGCAACGGCTGGAGAAGGTATAGTATAAGTAAAAAAATACAAGATATAAGTTTTATTTACTTTCTAGGATAAGTTATTGAATTAAACGCATAAGATTATTTAAAATTATTCAAAACAAATAATTTTATCCATTCTAAAAGGCCATATGAATTTTATTCTGAAGTTCTAACAAAATTTTGCCAAAAAGCGTATTTATTTAAATGATTTTGACTCTTGAATAAAAGTTTTTATTTATTCATTTCAATAAATTTTTATTGTAATTTATTTCATAAAATTTTTAATTAAAATCTCAATAGTTCTTATTCAAATTCTAATAAAAGTGTAAACGTTACGGTTCTTTATCGAGCGATTTAAGAAAGCACTTTACTACATTTTTCACATTAATTTATTTTAATTAACTAATTAGTAAGTTCGTTTATATTTAATATATATTCATATTATACATCAGCAAGCAAATATAAATTTTAAACGAAATTAAATCGCTTCACCGAGGAAACCCAAGCCGATCCATAAAGCTCAAATATGAAGCAATTCACATGTAAAATTATTATTCGTTCCTTCTATAATTCGTCGTTTACCTCAAACCAGGGTCGAGAATAATAATTGTTAAAATATTGAAATGTAAATGAGGTTTAGAAATTATTATAGCACCATATAAAATTTTAGTAGATTGGGGCTAACCAATATCTAAAAAAGACAAGGAAAGTTAAGAAATTTTTATCAACAATATTTGAAAAATGAGGGCAAAAAAACAGCAATCACCTGATTCATATGATGTCGCAATTGGGAGATAAATGGCAGTATTTGAAAATTCTTAATAATTCTATATATATTCAATATATAGATATATATTAAATATAAATATATTATATTTAATATATAATATATTTTCTTCCGTCGTTGGTGTTTTGGTTGTGAGCGCTGTTGTTTATTTTACAAGCTCTTATTTTTATATATACATATATATATATATATATATATATATATATATATATATATATTTAATTTTAGGTTAGATTCAATCGTTTTTTTATATAACCTACACAATAGCTTACACGTGGATGGGGTAAAAAAGACCAACTAAACCATTATCCTGGCTAAGGTTTAAGCAATAAAAAACAGTGAATAAAAAAGCAAAATAATTTAGAAAAAGCAATTTTAGAAGAGATAAATTAAATAAATAGTTATTCTAACTTTGCTGATGAATATATCTGAAATACTAGATCAAGGTTATATACAGTGTTATCTCTGTTAAAATGTATTTGTGAAATTTACCTATTTTCTGCATTGATTAAAAAATAAAGCTATTATTTTTTTAAAATTCTTTAAAATTACCTTTAAAAATATATTTTTAAATTGCTTCCCTGGCTATCCCTCCTTACTTTCCCATTGGGCAAAAAGGGTCAGATGACAAAATAGTAAAAAACCTTGTGGAGTCTCAAAGCAAATCGTGTCTTAAAGCAAATTGCTGTAACTTCACGTACAAATAATTATTTTTTTCAAAAAGATTCATATTTTTTAGATTTTTTGAAAAAAAATAGATTTTTGAAATTAAAATAAATTTTTTTGCGATTTTGATTTTGCGAAAATAATATTTGGGAATAATATTCAATAATATTAAAAATATTGAGTGAACATTGACCTTTTTTAAAAAAAATTTTTTTTTTTTAAACTAAAATATTTTGGAAATTTTGAACTTTTATTTAAAGCAATCGCGATATGTTAACTGCGTAAAATCGAAATATCAAACAAAAGAAATTTATTTTTGATTTTTTTGCGATTATTATAACTTACCCTACAGAAAGTTAATAAACATATTACTTTAATTGAGAATGAACTGGAAATTTTACTGAACATACTTCGAAGTTGTTTGTTTGATATATGTTGTGTATTGTCATGTAGTTCATTTAGTATAGACAGTATAATTAATAAAATTAAAATTCAACCTTCATGCCTCACCCTTTAAATTTTAAATAAAATTTTTAATTTTATCACACGTTACATATGAATAATAGGTGTATTAATCCTGAGTCGAAATCCGATTTTCCATCCCTGATCCATGTAAAGCGGTTGCAATTTCACCTGCGCCGCGGCTGGCAATCTCGTCAAAATCCGACCGAATGCGACGTTAAATTTAGAAACTAATTTTAATTATTTTCATGCCTTAAGCACGGTAATTGCTAATTAACTCCGCTATAGCACGAATTCGTACGTTCCCCGTGGAGGCGGTGGAGAAATAGCGTGGGGCGAGCCGCGCTATTCTGCAATTTGTTATTTTGCGGCTGTGATTTTAGGAGATCACCGGCGGGAATTGATTATAATTTAACTTACTAATAGTTAACGACTGTTTAGGAATAGTTTTTAAAATTTATATTCTATGATATAATTCATAGAAAAGTACCTACTGACAGGGATTGCTCATTAGATAATTTGGAAAAAATACTTGTGGCTGCTGAACACAACAATTAGTCGATTATTTCTTTATTACAATTACTACATACAACTTAAGTAGTTGCAACTAATAGAACCTATTGTAGTAATAAAATTTCTAATAAAATGTTCTTCGAAATGGATTACAAGATTTTAGAATAAATATTTCTTAGCAGACAGTGGCTAAATCGTGTAGCAAAAGTTTTCATTTTAGTTCATTCTTTGTTTAAATTTAATTGTGCTTAAAAGCATAGTGGAAATTCATTTTGATTTAATGGGAATTATTATTTTTTTTCAATAATTTATTTTTTTCAGAATGATATGAATTACATTAAAGTCTTAATCAAATTTTTACACTAATAACGATCATTCGTTAGAAAGGCGCCGAAGGTAGGCTGATGTTTGCAGAACATATAAATTTTGTAAATAATTATTGTTATCTAATAATATTTACAACTTCTAATAAATAGAATATGAAACTTTTGTTGTAACCAAATTAGTAGTAAAATGCTTATCAAACAATTTGTCAAATTATTTGTTATTTTGTGGCTGTGGTATGAGGAGATCACCGGCGGGAATTGATAATAATTTAACTTATTAATAGGTAACAACTATTTTAGAAATTATTTTAGGATGATATAATTCATAGTAAAGTACCTACTAATTAAAACTACTGATAGGGATTATTTGTTAGATAATTTGGAAAAAAAATTGTGGTTGCTGAACACAACAATTAGGCGATTATTTCTTTATTACAATTACTACATACAACTTGAAGTAGTTGCAACCATTATTACCATGGTAATAAAGTAATAAAATTTGTCATGAAGTGTTCTTCGAACTTGATTTCAAGATTTCAAAATAAACATGTCTTAAAAGGCGGTGGTTAAATCGTGTAGCAAAAGTATTCATCACAGTTAATTCTTCATTTAAATTTAATTGTGATTTAATAGAAAATAGATAGATAGATAGATTTAATAGAGAACATATTCAATTTAACTTAGTAGGAATAATTTATTTTTCCAATATCTATTTATGCATAAAATGCCTCAA